ATCCTGCAGCATCAGTCACTTGAAGAATCTTTTCTCGTTTTTCAAACACCGTTTCAACGCAGCCATGAAACCGTTCCATCATGTCGATCAGCATCACAATACATCCGAGATCTGGCCATTTTGGACACAATTGGCAACTTGATGAGGTTGATGAACTGATGAGGACCAATTGAACCACAAAATGGGTTTTGAATAGGTCTTCAATGAATCAGTCTTGGCGTTTCAGTTTCCCTTCAGAGCCATCAAAGAGCAGCAAGAACACATTTGAGCTCTAGAGGCTGACTCCAAAAATCCTGATATCGTAGAATGAGCACATCCACAAAATGGATGGAGAATACTAAAGGGTCACCGTTCAATTGAATAAACTGATGCCCGTTGATTCAGAGTGACAATTTCACTTCACTATTAAAATTAATTGAGTAAAGGCTTCAACACTACACAGCCAAAGTGCACACAGCTACACACACAAATAAATCCCCCACCACAGGAGAGTCGGATTTTTAATGATTAACAAATGTGTTTACATCTCACACACACACACACACACACAGCGTAATGGATTCTCTTTCATATTCATGCTTGCACTCTCCATTTCCAACTAAGGGAGCATCGTCTCATGGCTGCCATCCAGCATAATACACCCAACATCCGTGAGGATATGCTCTACCTCACGCAGCCTGACACAGTGACCCATTCTCTGTGGCTGGAGCCAGAGGCGAGTGCACAATGTCAAGGAATAGGCTGCTCCAAGAGGCAACAGCAGACCGATCGCATGCACGCATCTCAAGCAGTCTCTCTGCAAGATAACCACTGCTGCATAATGTGGACTCATAATAACCATTCACACTGGGGAGAAGCAGGCTGTTCTTGTTCCTGGAACCGAGAGTTAATTACAAAAAGTGGACATCTGCACGTTTTAAAAACATAGGAGGTGATATCAGCCATCTGTATGTCGTATATGTGTTGTAACTAAAGCATCTACTCGATCATGTAGAGGGGAGGACCACAGTACAGGTGCAGGGAGCATCGAGCCAAATGAGAGGAAACATTTGATTTTATACCCGCCAGAACCGGGAAATCAAGAGAGAGTATGGAGCGGAAATACGAACATATTTTAATCCAGCAATCCATAAAAGTGCCACAGCGGTAACCTATTTAGAAATGCAACGATGAGCACTGAATCAGTGCGGTGGCGTTTATTCACACGGCTGAAGTTACTGTGAAGGAAATGGTGCCAAAGCGCGTTGTGCAATCCCAACATGTAACGCAGCGCTAACGTTACACACACATATAAATAAATATATATATAGGCCCGGGCAATTAAAGCGGAGTCTCTGGGGGTCTGCTACGCTGCTGTTCATCATCCGCAGTGGCCGTACGATCTGCCGCGAGAGGCGCGTCAGAGATAATGAGGGCGACAGAGCGAGTCAAACCCTAAATAACGAGAGACAGGGGTGGAGGGGTAGGGGGGGTTACGTGTTGGAGGTGACACGGGCGATTATATGCAAGCAGAAATCCTACTCACTTTGTAGAAAATCATCTTTAAAGTGCCGTAGAACCCCATCCTTGTAATCCGGTGTTTTTCCTTTTTCCTCCTCTTCAGTGACAATCGGTGGAGTCCAGATCCGTGCGCGCGGTGGGGAGGAGGCTGTGACAGTGTGAGGGCAGCGTACTCTCAGGTAAATCCGACGCCGTCTCTGATGTGAACATGCTCGGGCACGTCACCGGACTGGCGTGCATGCGGTAGATTCCCCGGGTGTAGGCATTAAAAAAAAAATAACATGAAGGGAGAAAAAAGAAGCTCCGCCGTGTCACGCCGATTTAAATGGAGCTCTCCTTCGGTGGGGTGAACAATGCGATGCGACGATCCCGGAGGCGTGTGCGCCGCCGACCAGCCTCGCCGAGCAGGGAGTGAACAGATGAGAGAGAAAGAGGGGTGACACTCGGCAGAAAGTGGGAGGAGTGGAGTGGAGGCAGCGTCAGAGCAGCAGAGCAGTGCCCTCTTCCTCCTCACAGGCTGCACGACGGCTCCTCCGAACAGGAATCGGATTACGGCCTCCCCAGTGGAGACGACAGGAATGGTGCAGTCCGACATTCAGCACCGAGCGCAGCGCATACTCCGCGAGCAGGGGACATATGCGCGCAGACGGAGGCGGCACACGGAGACCGGGTGGGGTGTATGCGCGTGTCTTTCAATGCGTAAAATGTGGACCGCCACTTGTTGCAACACCTCATCCATCCGCTCACCCCGCCCAAGTCTACTCTCCCTTCGTTTTTACCCACTTCTAAAATGCTCTGCAGCAAACATAACATTTGCATCCATGTAAAGCACACACGCAGTGGTGGAAAGTCACAAATACATTTACTGAAATACTGCGCTCCTGAAGCAAACATTCGGCCATTATGATCCATCATGCAACAGTGTGAATGAATCCACGTCTGCACCCTCTGCTTATTTGCATACACATAGAACAAGCAGGCCGATATTTGCATTTCAGTATGGCAGGTATGTATCGTGACAGCACCTGCCCAGTTAACAGACATATGCACTGCTGA